ATTAAATACAATTATTATTTTAAGTAAAAAATCTTAACATTTGTTATATAATTTCCAAACACAAACAATTGATTGAAAAAATTAGTTTTTTAACTTTTAATTTGTAATAATTACTTTATAAAATACAATTTTATTCATTGTTTAAAAAATATCATTTTTATAATTTTTTTTTCTTGAGGTCTTTTAATAATATGACGATATATGTATAATAATACCTAATTAATGTTCTTTATATTTAATTCCATAAGCTGGACAATATGGACAAAGTACGTACCAACTAACAACTAATACACGTTATACGTTTTATCTAGTTTTAGTCGTTGAGGATGTGATTTTTGTGGATACACAATTTTAACTCGATATCTGTATAGTTATATAATAATTTTTTTTTTCTACTAGAACTAGAAAACTAATTATGTTCTTTGTGTTTAGTTCCACCCCCATACAGTCCGAAATATGGACAAGGTAAGAAACGACAAACAATTTAATATTGTCTCATATACTTATTGGAACTTAACTTCTCTTTATCTATCTATAACGTTGTTTTTTTGACATTTTCATGTCTTAGCTCTGGCATATAACCGAAAAAAGTTTTACCAAAAAGCTTGTATTACATTTTATGCGAGATCGTTTTTCTTGCAACTAGTAGCAAAGTCGGTGTGTTGATGAGTCAACTAAAGAAGTAAAATGAAAATATTCAATTATTTTGCAGTATGCAAATCCAATAGGTGATTTTTTTTAATGGTGGGCAACTCTAAATCTCACCGTGTTCAGTCAATAATTCAATAGTTTTTTTTTTCATTTGTATTTTTATAATGTGATCTCAATTTTCCACAAATTTGTTATGTTCTCACCGCCTTTCAAATTACCTTTTTTTTTTTTTATAGCAACTTTGACCAGTTAAAATTATTATAACTGTACATTATTCTCAATTTTAAAGGCAACGCAATGTATGCGTTATCATTATTTAAGTTTCAAAAGTTGGTGTGAAAATAATCACTTTGGAAGGGAGTAGGTTAAACATAAACATAATTGGAAAATTGTGGTCAGTTTATATGAAAACACTGAAAAATGTAATTATTAGCTGTTAATCCCAGAGAGATGTTGAGTGGCCCTTGATAAAAAAAAGTCACCCTGTGCATGTTTGTTACATTTTTTTACATACTGTTTTTAAATTATTCTCGAGTCAGTTGTACGTTTTAGGATTTGTATACTTTGTATACACAGTCATTTTAATCTTTTTTAACTGTTGTGACTGTCTCGGTAAGCGAATTCGTCAAGAAACCAACTCACGATGGCAGCGTTGGGCCAAATTCATGTGTACACATACAATTTTCTTTTTAAACTTCAATAACTCAAGTATCGACTATGTGTAGCTATGAAAAAATAAATCGTCTGGTATTATGCACAAGATTATGCGTATCGAAAAATGTTTTAAAGCAAAAGCAAAAACATCAAATAAGTATAATGTTGTTTGTTTTTGGCCACACTACCATTCTGCATAGTACATTTCTTAAATACATTTTTTAAATTCGATAACATTTAACGCTATTTCAATACTATACCATTAAAAAAAAAATAGATACTACTAATTATTGTATTTTTATTGCCTAAGATTAGTCAAACCAATTATATTTATGAAAAACACAGTAACCTGTGTATATTACCGTTGAAAAAATTCGCACTTTTTGTGAAAAATATGTAACATGTGAAAATTTGTAAATCAAATATTGTTTTTTCCCCCAAATTTGCCTTTTAACTTATTATATCGGTATACAAGTATCTGTAGTATATAACAATAATTGGTTACCGCGATTAGTTCTAAAAATAAACATTAAAACGAAATAACATAAAATGTACAAGTGAAAATAATTTTCTGCTTAAACGCGAAGCGTTACCTACTATTATTAGTTTAGTCATGTTGAATGTATTCAAAGGTTTGCAAGGCTCTATTAAAGGTTTTCACATAGGTATTACATATTATATTTTAACAGCTTGCGTACGAATCCGCAACACCACGGGATGCATTTTTATGCATTTAAGGTGGCTAGTAAACATATCAAGTTTCTGGCTAATATTTTAGTGTTTTCATAATATCTCACCCAAAAACAATTTATAGAGAATTTGGCCCCTTAAATTATTGAATTTATTATTAATTTATACTTTGAACGTTGTGAATACAACATATATGCCCCCATCCCCATTCTCACCCCAAACCCTCATCTCTTACCCCATATCTCTCACCCCTAACTATTTCTCAATTCATCTATCTTTATATTTTATGCCATAATATACTTAAATATATTGATAACTAATTTTGTTCTTAATATTATTTAGGCCCACACAATGTGGGATATCAGTATGGTAAGTAACAGCTTAAGTTTAAGTAAACGAAAATTTTAAATCTTACTTTTGTAAGAGTTTTATATTTAAGATTAATTATCAATTATTCCGAGGGGATAAAATATTTAGTAACAAACTTCGTTTGAGTATAACTTGTGTATAATTCTTTTTAGTCTATGCCATATGGAATATATTAATAACCGGTTTTATTAATTTTATGTAGGTCCACAAGCTCAGCCATATGGCCATGGTAAGTAACGTAAAATAACGGTAGAGTTTGAGACCACATAATTTCTAAATTTGTTTTTGGCACGTTACCGAAATTAAACAAAAAATAAGATGAAAACTAAAAAAAATGCGCAATAAAGTTACTATAAAAACGATACAAACTTCACAAAGTTATTCACATACCATTAAATCAATTTCAAGTTTGCTAATAGTAATTTGATTTGTGTAATCATGTAATCAAGATAAAATAAAAGTCATACGATACTAATAATATGATTTTTGACGTTTTAAAATAGCAATTATTAAATGTATTACATTTTTAATTATACACAGATAATAAAACATCTTACTTTTTTTATTAGTATATATTTCACATTCAGAACTAAACTACAATTTTCATAATAAATAGTGTTAAAGCCTTAAAACCTGGACATGAGTACTTAGTTTCTGTAATTGGGATATAAGTATAATATGATTAAATTAAAAACTTATACTATACATTTACAAAAGACATAATAAATAATAATTGGTTAAAATTTAACGAATATTATGAGAAAATAATAAATAGAGCACAAATATAGAATATAGAATAGTCAGAAGCAAATCATAAAGCTAATTATAGTTCTTCGTACATGATTTTTTGTGATATAAAATAATTTCTTATTGTATCTTGTGTCCAAGGTAAATTAATAATTATTATAGTCCCATCTTCTAAGAATTAAACGTTAAATACAAATTTTGCAAAAAATTACTTATACTAAAGTGAATTCCTTAATAAATAGTGGGAATACCGTCATATTGTCATTAAAATAAACGCTGAAACAAATAGTTCTTACATATTTACAAAGTTTACTTGGTTTTTATGTAAATTTTATATTCAAATTTAAACTATAGAACTTCTTATTCCATAAATATCGAATATTTTACTATAAAGAACCTTTTTATTCCAAAGGGAAGCCATTTTCATTAAACATTACATGTATTTCTTACTTACTTTACAAAGACAAATTATTGTAAAAAAAAATAAAAAGAACGAGTTATTTGTAATAAGCAAGTTTTTTTTATCAATTATTTTTTATCTTTAGACTTATTTGTTCTGCAATTTGCAATATTATGTAATAACTAAATAGATAGAGAAACGTTATATATAATGCATACATTTTACTTAGTTTTTTAAACAAATTATAATAATATTTTTTCTTCGATACAGTACTGAGAGGGTATTGTTTTGGATAATGATATGTTTTTATTTTTAATAATTCTTTTTTTTTTTAATTATTGTTTCTGAACCAAAGATGTCTTATTTATTTTCGAATAAATTATTTTATGGTAAACAATTGTTTACTTCATTTTTTATATGAAAACAAAAATGTATTAGTCGATGCAATTTTTCTCATCAGATTACATAATGCATAACATATGCACTAGCATACGATGTGGGGTCTAATTCACTTGCATTGTTATTAATAGTCAGGTATATGCATACATTTAACAAATAAATCAATACATTTCAGGTTATAATGCTCATAATCAATATCAAGGTAATGGTACTGGTCTCGTAAGAAAGGTGAAAAATGCTCTTCATAACGCCATAAAGTAACCATATGGTAGTTACTACAATAATAGTTGCCATCATCATTCATAATGAGGTAACTTAATTTATTATATATTACATTTTTTTCTATTAAAGAAAACTAAATAGCTTGATAAAAAACTATTATAGACACAAATTCCAGTACATATTAGATTATTATATAGGTAGTACATATTATTATATATTATGTTAAATATAATCTGTTTAATGACGATTGTTTTAACTGAAAAAGATGTATAAAATTATGAACATTATAAATTATAAAAAACATTTTATATCGTTCAAGCAAATAAATTTTTTAAGAATACTTTAATGAGGTAGCTTTTGTAGTTCTTATCGTGACCTACGTGAAAAGTAACATTATGAAAATAATGAGAGTCCGATAACTAGTTTTATATTACTTTTATTTGTGCTATAAATGATAATAACGGTTTTTTGATTACAGAAACGGTCCAAAGGTGTGGTAATCACTTCCAGTTTCTTTTTAATACAATAATAATTTCATTAAAATGTTTAAAAATTATATATATATATATACACATTATAATACCATATTAAACTTTTACTATTTGACAGATTAAAAGTGCGTTGTTTTTCTTATTAACCCCCTCCTAATCTAACCACGACTGACAGTGAGGAGGACGAAGAACAAGAGCGCTCACCGAAAAGAAAGCTGTCGGATAGCGACTATGACTATCATGTCCCCGTAGCGTCTGAAATGTTGGGTTATAAATAATTGTTTGAATCAAATTCTATATAAATTTAACTATAGATGTGGTATGAAGTCCAGTGAGAAGATTAGATTTATTCATGTAGTGTAATTTGTGATAAAAAAAAAAAAAATAAACATTTTTACAATTATGACAAATGTTATGAAAATATAATTAAAAGTTTACAGAACTTTGGATCGAACATGCGCGGTGGTCTCCAGGTTGTGGTTGTATTCGATTAGTGAAGGGTTCATCACAAGTTTTGTCTACATCGATTTTTAAAACTATAAAAATAATAAAATTGTTAATTAGTTACAAAATGTTAACATTTAAGTTAACTCTTTGAATACCTACTAGTAAAACCGCGAATAGGATTCGTGCTAGGGTAGGGGTAGGTTAAGTCTTACGGACGGTTATGCGCATGCTAAAATTTTATTTAAAAAATGGCAAATATATGTATTATCTAAATCCACCTTTACAATTGATTCCAAAAGAAATAAAAGAATTCTTTTAAATAACAGAATATTGTCTATTATTGTTTATTTAAACATATGTCAAGGTCAATGAATTCTTGATGTACACTGATGAAATTTCAAACATTTTACAGCCACTGTGTACACAATTCAAAACAATGCAAAGCGAATACAATTAGGTTCACGTTTTAGTTGCACTACCAACCCTAAAATGTTTTTGAAATTTTACCATAAAGTAAATTTACCTACATTTTTAAATTAAGTTTGTAATTTCTTATTTCACAAATGAAAAAAAAAAAAAAATAATCTAAAATAATAAATCATTAATGATTATCAATGGTTGTACCATATTTTGTCGTAGATTGTGTAGGATCACTGTTCAGAGACAAATTAAAAGTTTCGAAAAAAAAATTGTATTCTTTATTAAGTTCCTCACGTCTTGTAGTAAAACGGGTGAAAGGATTTTCAAAATTATATTTGAAGTCCAAATGGAGGGGGGGGGGCAAATGCCCGGTTTTGCCCCCCTTCCGGGCTCCCATGATCATACTATAACGATTGGATGATTTGAATTCGATGGTTTTGTTTGATTTCCTTTACTCCTATTTATGCGTATAAATTGTACGGTAAAATAAAATAGTAATTTTTGCTTTAACAGTAAACAATTTCAAATAAAAATAAGTTGAACAATAAATATTAAAAGAAATAACACTCAACATAATATACAAAACATTTATTTATTTCACAGTACCTACTCGCTTATATTTGAAAGTATAATATAATATAACTCTTTTTCAAAATTTACTCATTATTAATACTTTTATTTAATTTAATTTTTACTCAATACTATCTTCTTGCAATCAATATTAAATCTTTACAATAAAATGTGTGCGTACTCACAATAACGCACGACTTCAGTCGTGAAGTTGAACGTTATGCTGGTTCTTTGCTCGGAGTCTCGAGGTTGGATCTGCAGTTTCTTTCCTTGACGTGTGCCTGATGTGGTTTCCTCCTTGCGAATACGTTAAACCGACTGTGCCACTGTAACAGACCGGACTATTTAATCTAGGTTATTAAGATTATTTGTAGTCTTCTCGTCTATCAATCAATGCAGGGAAATGGTTTATTATAAAAAAAATATAATAATTAAAAAACACTCTTTTCCTCAAAGTATTATTACAGTCTTATTATATTATGTCTTATTCAATATTTTTGTAATCAACATGTGTAATTGTGTTGTTAATTTAATTTTTAAAAAAAAGTGTTTAATAAACATTCTTTACACTAATCAATTGTGTTAATAATAATAATAATAATTACTTACATTCACAGGTAGTGAAACACATGGTGGTAATCTTCGACAGCTTGGCTGTCTGTTAACCTTTAAAGAAATGTGACCAATTGAAAAAAAAAATTGGCTCACAGTGCCATCTCCGACGGAACAGACGTTAATGTTTTACAGCGATAACAAACATTCCGTAGACCCTAAAAAAGAACATGATGTTATTTTAGCTATTTAATAAAAAAATCTTTAATCTAAACATACATTTTAACCGGAATCGGTATCAGTTGTAACCAAATGGTTACAATTGGGGGCTGATTCGGACGCACTCATCTGAGAGTCGGACGCATTGCCTCTGCGCGCCCACTGATTCGGTGTCGGTAACATCTGTTGATGAGAAAATATTATTTTACCAATGTCATGGCTTTACGTTTAGCTGTGTTAAGAGATAAATCTAATTTGTCCGGTATGACCCTGCGAATAGACACAAAAGGAGGTAGTTTGCCCGTTATCGGTCTCAGTCGTGTGCAGTTAATGGAATTATAAACATTACACACTTCTCACCAGAGTTTATTTCTGGCAACTTTTTGTCTACACGCCATCAGCCTTTTTGATTAAAAGGCCGATGGCGTGTAGACAAATAAACCAATTAGCCATCCCCAAATATGGTACAAATAATAATAGTGTAATGCGACCCATGTGTTTTCAGATGATACAAAACCCCAAGAGTATCATCAATAAAATATTTGCAATTTAAAAAAAAAATTGTGTTAAAAAATTCCATTACTTGTAGTAGGTAAGGGTTTTCACAAATCTATTCATTCTGTAGGCTCATCATGGACTTGTCGAATGACTGTTTGTGTGTTGAACGACCCATTTCTTCGTTATCTTTTTCAATTATGATTTCCGGCACCGTTCAAGCACTGTTTTAATACTACAAAAATTAAAGAATACATTAATCATTAAAACTGACGATGATGCATTAATAAAAAAAACACAATTTTTTATTGTAAAAAAATACACAGCGACAACACAAAATGTTTTTGCGGTGTTGAATTTCAGCCATACTGTAAAAATATTGGTATTAGGCATTTAACTGGAGCACATTTCCATTTCAACGGTTTTCACCGAGTCGGGCGTTAAAATCATAAAACGATTTTTTAAGAAATTTTCTACTTCATAAAGTCATTTGAATAAATTTGTGCAGACGTATACCACACATTCAACAACAAACGAATCGAAAAACCCATACAAAAAACATGGGTAGAAAATACCAGTACACGTATACACTTTATTACACTACACATTAGTCAATACCTATTCACAATATACTCCACACTTCTGTTTTTATTTTTATACATTTAAAAAGCATAACTTTCTACTAACCTATTTTTGCTAATACTCTTATCAAATCTAAGCCCTTCCACACACGTTTCTCAACATTTTTACTCCAGCTATTTACATAGTATACTATAGTATAAATTAAATTCATTGTATTTTATGTTAATTTTTCAAAACATTATTTACGGGTTATTTTCGTGATATTTGCAACTCCAGCGTAGTAGTAGAAAAGGCCCGCGATTCAGACATTAATTTAACATTAAAAGCGCACACATTCGCGTTAATTGTCATCTATTTTACACGATAGCGTACACACACAATGCTCGTCTATACACACAAGTTAACGACTACTACTATAATTTGAGCGTGACCCGTCGCACAGGATTTTTACAAAATTAAATTACCGGCTACTAACAAACACGACGTTAGGCCTAATCTAACCATGCAGCACCACCAGCAGTGTCAACGCAAAACGGTTTTGTATAATTATTTATAATGTATTTCATAATTTTTATACAATTATATTTGTGTCTTGTGTACTTGTGTTGCAACTCAGGTTGTGTGGTCAAATCAAAATTTAGAAAAGAAGAAAAAAAAACCAATTCAAGTCGACCGCGAGACCCATACTTACTCATTATCGACGATTGGGAATAAAAAAAAAAAAATTTGTAGGTACAAACAAAATGAAACAAATAGAGTTGTAAACATTTTTATAACAGAGCGATAAGAGTGTTGAAAAGAATAATTTTTTACAAAAGTTTACATTTAAATACAAGTAGGTGAGGAGGTGGTACTTTGTATACCTATATGCGAATCGGTTAGAAAAAAAATAAATACACATCCGTATACAAATGCAAGCGTTCACATTTGTTTTTTTTTTTACTTTCATTTACATACCTTGTAAAACACAATAATTGTGAAGTTGGGTTATTTGCACAACCATTTGCTTGCTGTGTGATGTCAGTTTTCAATTTTTCATTTCGTTTGCTTGGCGCTGAACAAAACATTTATCACGATAATTTTTTATTGAAAACGATATAGGTAAACCGAAAATATTACAATAGTTTACCTGGATCCGGGGAATCGGCACGGCAACTCCAGTATAATCGGTAATATAATTATTTGAAATTGAAAAAATTGAAAAAACAATAATTACTTTTGCAAAAAAAATCCTTAGCAGTAAGAAAACATTATAATTTATAATGATCACAAACTATGGAAAAATACTGCAACATTAACAATATTGATAACTGAAAATGCTGTACAACGGTGTGTGTTTGTTGTGATACCGTTTCGAGTAAACACTAAAGTGTAAACAGTCCTCAGCAGCAGCTGCACACATTATCAAAAATTATATTAATATTACAAACGTGTTGATCAATTCCGAAGCAAACAGCTACAACGAACATCGTTTGGAATTCATTTGCTTTTTTTTTTTCACATGCAAATATTTTCCGAAAATTATTATAAAATGTACGCGTTAAATAGCAGCAGCAGCAGCAGCAGCTGCCAGCTATAGTGTAACCATTCAAATTACATTTTACCTCCGCGTTATCACTTATCATATTGTGAAAGCGCGAGCCGTTTGTGTTTGGAACCGCAACCGCGGTATACGGTAATTCACACACACATACCGCGACGTTACCGCAACATTTTCGCGGTCGTTGATACATTGTAGTAGTAGTAGTAGTGCCCACCTATAGGATTTCAATCAATGATAATACGCGAAAGTGACGCTCGCCCCCCCCCCCGCGCTTGGCGCCGCCGCTACTTTCCCTCGGCACAAACGGTACCGCAGACGCAGACGCAGCCGCCGCCGCAGACGCAGACGCAGCCGCCGCCGCAGACGCAGCTGTTTTCGTTTGGCGGGTCGGACAATGTGTTTGTGCGTGTGCGCGCGTGACCCTCTTTGTTATGTTTGTGTGTTTGGCGCAATGCGCATGCGCGAAAGGTTGCCCGGCCAGGCCTCTCCACCTCCGCCCACCCCCCGCCCGGCAATATAATAAAACTCATTGTATACCATTTTACGGTAAAATAGCCGCCGAACAGAATATCAAGGTCGCTGTCTGCTCATATCAGATCTTCTTCTAATAATAAATAATAATCGGCGTCCTCAAGATTAAAAATAATAATAATACGCTTATTATACGTACGTAATACGCTATTTTGTTTGTGAGCCGCCGTTGTTGTTGTGCACTGTGTGATTTGTGTACTGTTTATAGTGTTCAGTGTGTGTGTGTGTGTGTGTGTAATCATTATCTAATACTGTCGCTTTTACGTGAAAAGGTTCGTTGTTTGTTTACTACAATAATATTATAATATAGTTGACGTTTTCTCGGATAATAATAATAGTTCAACGTTAGCGCCTACAGATAAACCGTACTCATTACCGTGTACTACAACATTGGTACATTGCATTGGGTTTATTTATTATTAATTTAATATTGTCACGTCGCCCGTTATTGTTGCAGAACATCAGACCTACCTACCTACCAACGACGATGGACTGCAATGAAACAATGAAAACGTTTGGATCGTTCAAACTTACGTTGTAAGTTGGTTTTGTATCGTTGGTTTCGAGAGAGAACAACAACAACAACAACGATGAAGTTGTTGGAGAGCTCACAGTTGAACGCGTTGTCGCAGGCGTTGTGCGTGGACCGCGGTGACGAAAAAGTCATAGCCAGGTACGGAGAACACAAAATATATTTACAAAACGCAAACATAACTGTTGGGGCAATAGTTACAAATTAACACTCTGATCTGTTTCCACTATTCACGCGAAAACAGAATCGAGAGCTATAGCTGCAAAATGGTTGGAGACGAAAAACAACAGTACAAGAAATTCTACCAAGAGAGCGGCACGCAACCAAACGACTTGGAAGCTTTGAGTTCGCCCAGCGATAGGTACAACGGCGGAAGGAGGTAAATACACACGTTTTCATACAGTAGGGTAAAAATCGTAAAAACATCCAACACTCTTGTATCTGTATCTCAACGCGCGTTGACCATTATTTATGCAGCCGCTGGCCGTCTCGCAAATTTTTGTTATCTATCACTGAAATTTAGGCCGCAAGCCGCCGCTACATATCATATTTAGACGACCTTACAGCCGCTGTATATCACATTTTAAAAATGTAATCTGAAATAATTTTCATAACGCTGTTGTAAATGTCTTATACAATATTGTATATCGTTGGTAGAAGAAGAGGGAAACTGATTCGAACCGTGTATTATATTTACCATAATACGACAATGTGTGAAATGGTCATTTTGACAATTAATATTTTAGTATACGTTTTTTTTTTGAAATTATTTTATTATTAAATTGAAAAAAAACCTCATTAAACTAGAAAGAAGCCACCGGCTGTATTGTTTGGAACGCTAGCATCTTGGGAAAACTCCATTATACTGACGCTGTGAGGTTGTCGGCGGCCTCACGATAATTATTATTTCACATTAGTTAATCACCGGACGATAAGAAATATTTTGTCATTAGAACTGTAGTTTTAGACCTGTTTGTTCAGAAGATAACACTTGGTACATTTTGTGAAGGTCAACACTATTTTGTTGACAACAGTGTATAGTGTGCTGCTGCCAACGGCCGTATGGTAGAGGTCAACGTGTTAAAAATAATTGCATATTTGTAGTTTTATTTTTAGGAGACATTTTAATGTTAATGTTATTTTGCACAATATTTAAATTCCCATCTTTTTTTTTCCCCCCAGAACTTTTTTACTTTTAAAAACTTGAACAGTAATTTATACGTTTCGTTAACTTTTTTAATTAAAAATTATTTGCCGAACATTTTGACACATCAATAACCAGTTTTTGGATAATTACTTAAAAACCTATAATAACCTTATATACCTTGTTGTGGACCGAGTGTTTACCAAATTATTCTTAATTTAAAAATTCAATTAGATATATGTGTGTTACTATTTAAGTTTTAGAGTAGTTGATAAAGCTTTGGAAAGTGTTAAAAAAGGTTAATGTTTAGTCATTTTTAAAATAATATCAAAACAAACTACAAAATTGCAATTATTTAAATTAAAAAAAATATTTGAGTGTTTTATCCTTTATGAATCACCCTATATAGAAGGATGTGTAAGATGGTTCTTATTTTAAAACTATTCTTTTTTCCTTTTTCTTTTTTAATATATGCATACAACTTTGGTGCTGAAAATTGTTTTAAATATTTACTACATTGCTTTTAAATCCGTTACTTAGGTATTACGATACATGACAGTACAATATTAGTTATTTTGTAGCGTGGAAACGATCTATGGGCTGCTAAGAAGTTAAAAATAATATTTCATTAACTTTTATAGTATACAATATTTTTATATTATACAATTTAAGTATAAAACGATCCGTTTTCGATAGACATTTTATTTTATTTTTTATTCAGTGAGAATTTTTTTTAAACAAAAAATAAGATATTTTTATTAAAACTAAACAAAGTTTTGCAATTCTAGCCGAAGCTTGTGGTCGTTTACTTTAACGGCCGGCTTTTACACACAGACTGACGGTCTCGGGCTAAAATTAATATTTTGTCATGCAATTTGTGTAAAACCCTATTTTTACTTAATCGAATAAAAAAGTGTATATATCATTTTATCATCCGACCAAGACCCTTTACATCAAAGTTTATGCTAGGGCCTATAAAATAGTTTTGAGTAAATACAATTTATTATAATACATATTTTTTATTTATTTAATTATTTAATTATGTTATACCCTCGTAGGGTGGATTGAATAAACACAGATACAGCAGTGAGATAAAATATTAATAATAATGACAACAACAATAGTAATAAAATAATAGTAGACGCTAAAATTAATATTTTAAAGTGATTGATGTGTTTGAAAGATTATCATGAAAAAAATTTTAATCACACACTTCATTAAATCAGTAGACCAATAGACTATTAAGTCGACTCGATTTAACATAGATGCATTTAGCATAATACAAAAAGGTTGTATGAAAGGGTTCCAAATACAACTGAACCCTCAAATTCTAGGACCAATCTTACACCAAGGATGAGATACATATAAAAAGTATTGAGACAAACATTTAGGATTCTTGAATTTTTCAAACCGGTTGCGTTTTAAAAATCCCACGTTTCTGATAGTTAACGTATAACATTGACATGTTCAGAAAAACTCGGAATCTTCTGACAGAGCCAAACCTTAGATACACATATTTGACAACTACTTTTGTTAAGACCATGACAATTAATTTGATAATTAGAAAGCACTTTATCATCATTACGGCGGCAGAACGAATGAATATATGTACGTTTTGATTTTTGACCCGTTTAAATTAAGGTCATTGGTTTGTTGTGACACCCAAAAGGTTAAATTATTTAAGGCGTATTGAAGGCGCCTATTCAGAATTTTTAATAGGCAAATATAATTTTACATCGTCAGAAAAAAAAAGGAATTATTAAAATAAAAATTGTATTTACACACATTGCTGCAGAGTGTTATAGAAAATAATACCTACATTAAAGGGATAACAAAACCTTTAAAAAACAGAAAACATTTTTTTTCAATAATCAGGGACTTGGTTGATAATAATTGTGCACTGATAATAAAATTGCCTTTCCAGAAAAAAATTACCCTGGCCCTCCTAGTGCCCGCTACTAGTTGGACCGTCACAAGTGTATATATATTTATCATTTTTGAGATACCGTATGTGTTGAGTGTTGTGATCAAAAAGCATTTGTGTACAATTTTTTCTTTATTTTCAATAACTAGTGTTGACAACAAGCTGAAAATTATTATTTACATTTTTTTCCCCCACAAACAACTTTGAATGCAGTGTAATAGGTATATTATATTGTTGTATTTTGTGAGAGATATGTATTTCGTTTAGTGATAGCGCGCGCGCGCATTCTTCAATTTATTTAATAAAAATAAATTAACAGGTTATACTATTTTTACGAAAACAAATGGTGACAAATAAAAATTTATCTATCCACTCAATTATAAAATATGTTTTACGCTTCTTAGATGAATATTATTGGCCTTGCCGTGGTGGTGTCGACAAAAACCGTGTAAACTCAATTTTTATATAATTTTTTTTTTTATTTCAGTTTAAGCGTTTCCGGAGACGACGGAGATCAGTTGTGCGACACTATTTCCCGCAAATCCCTGTTCTATTTGATCGCCACGTTGAACGCAACGTTTGCGCCGGATTACGATTTCACCGACGCCAAGTCGTCCGAATTCAGCCGCGAGCGCAGTCTACAATGGGTGATGCGCGACATCGACAACAATTTGAGCGCCGTCATTGTGGAACCGTCTTCCGACGGTAAGTCCGATGTCGTTCAGAACGCCTCCAAGACGAGCTACGGACAAATCAGGCATGCGTTATGGGAACAAATAGACAAAGAGATCGGAATGTCACAATGCGATATCTACAGGTAAGGCACATATGATGATATCCTTGTTGTAACGCCGCATTGTACTATTTAGCCGTTGTTATCTAGCATAAGCCAAGGTAAATACATTTACCTAACGTGTGTATTATGTAGTCACCATGATTTATGTGCAATAAATATAATATAACTTAAATTAAAATATTTTTTTTTTTTACAAGATAAAAAGCTTTTTATTCATTTAACTGAAGTACTTATATTCGTATAACTTATATACTTGCATTGATAATGATTTTGTTGTTTTTTTGTTTTACAGCTATACGCCAGATATGAGGTCGGACCCGTTCAGTGAAGACGGATGTTTATGGTCGTTCAATTACTTTTTCTACAACAAGAAACTGAAACGAATCTTGTTTTTCACTTGTCGTCGTATAGTCGGGTAAATTGTAAAAATTACTATCGTATGTGACCCCCCCCGGGTTGGCAATCCTGTAAAACCCCCGTTTGGCCGAATTTCAATGGAACGAGAAAAAAAAAAAAATTTATTTATACTATTTAGAAAAAAACGGATGTTTTTATAAAATTTTAGTTAGGTAAAGGAAATTGGAAGAATCACCTGTGTGTAGATTTTAATATATTATATAATGATAACGACGACACACCAGTCGCCGTTTAAAACCAATTTAAACGTATGTACGTACAATATATTAATTGTAATATTTTTTTATCCTCGATAAAAAGACATTTTTTTTTTTTTTTTGGCACAGTTTTAAGAACCGTGATTGAAAATATTTGATACTCGACCCGAAAAAGGTTCGATCCGCTGGTAGTGTAGTTTTTTAAATCAAAATTTTAATTTTCCAAAAACTACGCAGAACTGCTGTTTTATTTTTCAATCCTCCCCCCCCCCTCCCCTAAAACCACCACTCGAGATGTTTTCTCTGTTTTACGCTTAAAGTTTTTTGTAAAATTAATTTTTAAATATTTTCCATTTTACAGATCGTGTTACCCTATGGATTTTGACGGATCTCTTCATTCGGACGAAATGCTTATGCATCAGTATTGCGACGGCGAAGCCGACACGTCTTACAGACATTGCCACAGTAGGGAAAGAAGTCCGTTGACTAGTAGATGGTAATTTGTTTATGAATAGTATTAATACAATTATTTATGCAGTATATGTAATATGATTCCTTTACCTTCTATATCCTATTTCACCCCCCCCCCCTCCCCCGAGTACCTATATGTAATCTGTATTCTATGTAACGCGTATTTACACAAAACACAATTAGGCGGACTTATTTTTTTTTGGAAAATAATATCGCATCAAACAGCAGATATTGACACACTAAATTATTATTATACAAAACGTTAATTATAAAAAACAAGTTTTAATTTATTTTTTTATTTTTATTGTTCTAAACGCAGGATTGACGCTGAATTACAGTGATTGAAATGTTTTATTAATTTGTAAAGATATTATTTATGTTTTATTTTACTTTGAAAAGATGATCTCAACACGAAGATATCTATTATAATATTACTAAATTAAATTTTATTTCTATTTTGTTTTGTACTTAATAGATTTGTTTAATTTATTATTTTGATTCTATACAATTATTATTATTATTATTATTCTGTATAATTTATTTTTTAAATATATTATTTTACTTATTTTATCATAGAAATGTATATGAAGAGAGTTTATTTATATTAACCCAAAAAATATGAAATAATATTATGCAAACATTAAAAAGATTAAAAATCATGTAAAAATAATTATATTTAAGACTACCGCAACTATGTAAGTCACTCATGTACCTTATTAACATTATGGATGTGTGTTATTTTAAGTGAGTTTAGAACAAAATATGTAATTATTATTTTCCTAACTTATTATTATTCACCACCATAAAATATAGTATATTTTTAGTAGTTTTTTTTTTTAGAATAAAATAAGATATTTTCTGTGTTTTACATTTTTTTAGATTGTACGTGTGTTTATATTTATATTGAATTTTAACATAATAATATTAAAAACTTAATAGGTTGTTTATATTTTAAAAACACTTTATTATATTACTGTATGTACTCGGTACACTATTATTTCAATCAAAAATGTATTTACAAAAAGCTTACTAATAATACTATGTTAATAGCGTTTTGCAAAAGATAAATAATATACCTCATAATTTATTAAAATCGATTGTGTACTCTTAGTTTGTACTTAACATTATTTATGGACTATGTATGTTCACAATACGTGTTAATGAATAAATTTAAGGCAAGTATAGTGTAGTATTACCTGAAAGTATGTAATATACAACGTCTACCTAGTGTACCTGTGCTTAACTGTTGTAGTGTAGAACATGAGAATAAAATATTTTTAAATGTATTAAAAAAAAAAACTAGTTTTTTTTTTTTTTTTTTAACTGTAAAAGTAAGAATAGTTAACTGTACAATAATTTCGAAATTAATAAAATACTAAAAACCAAACGTTTGGAATTGTTCTAAAAGCGGTATGCCTTGTACCGCGTTTGAATCGGTCATTTGAATGAATTGGCCCTCTGTAAGTCGCTAAATTCTTGTCACAGAGTTGACTTCCGGTCCGAATAGGGATTTGGATTAGATCTGTTCATAAGGCAAACACCATTAATTATTATCAGGAAGGAGTTTTTTCTTTCCTTGTCCTTGTAAAAAAATCGGATTTTGTGACTTGTGGCGTTTCTCAAATGACCGATTCGCTTGTAAACTAAGATAAAACTAGAACACAACACGCCGCTAATCATAGGTCACCTGCTTATAACCTATCGTTTATATTTTTTAATCATTGTACGAATGAGTTCTTAGAGAACTTGTTTAACTAATTATGTTGAGAATATTATTTGAATTGTTTCGGCCTTTCGATTTGAGAGGGCAATTTTTATTTCATTTAAAACATACCTTTATGTAGAATCATAAAACTCTTAAACCTATAAAAAAAAATACCTCGATTTATTATGTATAGTAAGTTTTTTACTTAGTTATACCAAAGGTTTTTAGGTAGTAAGTACTTGGGTGTTAACGTCAAGTATTATAATTAATATAAAGAACCAACATTAAAACTGCTAAGCTATAAAATTTGATTTTATAAGCATTAAGCTTAAGGGCTAAACTAAGATTCAGTAAAAGCCAAACGGATAAACAGTCATTATTTTGAGTTGATTCGTAAATATATTTATTTTTCATTGTTTGAAGTACAATTTTTAACGATTAAACCATTTTTGCATTCGAATAATTGTAAGTTTCAATTAATTTAACAGGTATTTACTTACTTAGAAATTGTATTGCATTATTATAGTGATATAGTAACATGTTTAAATAATTGAATGATTTTTAAACATTTGCATAATTATTTAGTTGGAACTAGTTACTATCCGAACATATAACTACTGTTAAATAATATGTGTTTATTTAATTTCAATAACAACATTCGACATCAAGGGTAGGTATTGGAAGCGAGCGGTTTTTAAGGAGTTTTATATAGGCAATATTTAAGAACTAAAGAGATTTATTAAATTTCGACCGTGTTAATTCATTTTGGTTTATTTCAGACCAAAACGCGTAACAATCAATCATGGCTACTTAGAATTTCAACAATGTAACAAAGAGATTCGAGTTCTTTGACTATTTTACTAGGTTTTGTGTAGGAAGGCGATTTTCATTTGAAAATTTCAATCTCTTGTAACCAAAATATATGTTTTTAAATATTTAAACCCAATTTTTTACACAACAAAAAAAAACCGAAAAATCCGTTTCCGTCATAACTTAGTAAAGCAGCTAAAGAACTTTGCAAAATGGAAATCTGACCGTATCCTAAGTAGTCGAAATTTTATCAGGCTTTTTCGTCTAAAACAACGTCAAAAAAACCTGAGTGAGCTGCAAAAAATCCATACAACGGTTATGTGTAAACAACACTTTTAAAGGATATTCCACTTGGAGAAAAAAATAAGTTGAACACATCAAACAAGGCAACTACCTATCTCATTCATATACTTAAGCGCTATTTATTAAGGGGCAATGGATAGGCAATAATTGACAACAATTAATCAAGTAGCCATTATAGCCGTTATAAAACTTTTAGTTATTTTTCTCCTAGTTATAGCGAAAGTTTGATAAACAAATTAATTGCATTATGATACTAAATATATTCGCTAATTTGACATTACAATGATGTTTAACGAATAAAAACAAATGTTTTATACCCAAAGGTTTTAACATATTATAACTTTTTATACACAAAATATCCACATCAATTTAAACAATATATTATACTTAATGAAAAACAATAATTAAACAAACATCAATAATGTTATAGTACAAAATATGTACGTATTTTTATTTTTTATTTTGATAGTTGCTAATCTATTTATAACTTTATCAACATAAATACATTTTACCGTATGTTAGATGTTTAGCAAAGCCAAACAGGTTATGCGATCTTAACCAATTTTTGTTCTCAGCCACGGCCCATGTTTTTTTTAAAAATATTTAACAATATAGTAAAAAGTTGCAAAATTTTGAAGGGTAAAGGAAAAAAACAGGCAGGTAACTTTAAAAATAATCTCCATTTTTTTATTCTAAAACTTGTTTTTTAATCTGTTATTTATTTAACCATAATTAAAAACAAAAATTGAACATTTTTTCAAAAGTTTTAGCATTATTTATAAACATGTTTTTCTAGGATTTAAAAAAAAAAATGCCTTCTAGTTAATTCCCTGTACCCTTCATTTGAACTGTTTAATGAAATTAAGAACATAATATAATATAAGTCTGATATAAAGACATTAACATTTTTTTTTCATGAGGAAAATGACAACTCGAATATCCGAATTATTATAGTAGTAACAAAGGAGAAGGAGTTTATTTATTGAGTTTACGCCAAAGGCTCAAGTACAGTAATTAAATTACTAAATTGAATTACAGTGATTAAAGTACAGTAATTAAATTACTAGGAGTTGAGAGAACAGCTAAATTATAAATTAATTTAAAACTACTTACCCAAGCTCACCTTTGATGTTGCATACACAACGCCAAAATTATTCAACCGAAGACTTGAGCATCAACTAGATCAGTAAAAATAATTACTTAATACATTGGTCACGCGGTACATGGTCATTACAACAACCGAGCTCTAGTGATAAGTGGTGTGCCCCCCTCTCCCCGATTAATCCGCCACCGCATTTGACAATTTTCTATAAAATTTGACGAATTTCTACTGTAGCCCAAAATATTGTTGACGGATTGGGAATTTTGTGCACCAGGGTCCGAGCAACCGCCCTCGGCCGTCGCTTCAGCAGGGCACGCCGCCAAGAATATAATATCATTCAAACGCAACGGCCGGCATTTTCACCGACAGACAGCACTCCGACGGGTCGCTGTCTTCCTGGGGCCCTGGTACCACGAGTGGTGGCGCGAGTACGTTACCGACGGGTTAGCCTAACGTAGCCGACGGGTTACCGGCGCGACGGCCGAGCCGACCGCGGGCCGAGCCAGTGCCGGCCGCAGTCGCCGAACATATACATTCCTGGTACTCGAGTTAATTAATAGTCGGACGCCGGTAACGGTCGCACGTCATTTTGGTTTACCAGGTAACAACACCGCGGTTGACAATAATGTTATTATAATAATTGGACGGGTTTGGTGAAAAAGGTATGTCATTTTTTTTTTGTCATCACCTGTTTACATTTTAGCTTCGATGCAAAGCGAGAAGGTATTGGTTTTATTTTTTATTCATAATATTGAAATTGTACTACTATATATCTTTAGTCCCGGGTAGAAAGGGCTTATGTCAGTTTAATCAACTTTTCAAGACAGCCGTTTGAAAGTTTAAAAAAATCCTACACGTTTTAGTATTACAACCGCGAATATTATAGAAACTATTTATGTATACTTATCAAATTCTAAGTGCATTTATGACTTAAAATTCTTGAATTTATAATTATTATTTATAGACTTAACTGTAGTTACACCATTTGGATTTCACTTTTTCTCACTTAAGTGTTTTTTTTTTTTTTACGACAAAAGCCTTTTTGATCAAATACATTTTGACTTATGTTATTTTTATCAAAACATAGAATATATTTAATGCCTTTCCTAAAAATGAACTCATTATGATATCTAATGACAAATTAATGTTTACTGTACAATAATTCACTCAATAGTATATCATAATATTATAATATTTTAAGAGCAGAATTATAGTTATCTGATAAATAGACTATATGAAAATACCTATGCTATTATATATTATGCCCTTTCTACCAAACTTTAAATGGAAAAACTCCAAATATGCCCTATTTATTTCTTCAATAATATGAGTAATATTCGTCACTGACTTATGCCAATTGAACCAAAAAAAAAAAAAAATCACCACAAATCAAGCTTTAAATCTACGGAAAACATTTTTTTTGTAAAAAATTGACTACCCTTTCTACCCGGGACCAAAGATACAAGAGTGAAAAAGTCTGAATATAAATTATAAAAATCATTTTCGGTAGGACGTAAGACTTCTTAGTATAAAT